ATAAAATCTGTTTAGCCTAAGGATAACCCTCTGGTCAAAAACACAAAGACGGCTGGCTGAGACGGGGCTATTTACATCATTATTGCTTTAATATAACCACAACTGGACACTAATATGCAGAGAAGTCAGGGCAAAGACTCAAGAGAAACTATGATAAAACAAATCCACTCTCAGAAATACACAGACTTACACAGACAACACTGTCATGACTGTCATTTACAAAAAAAACTTAATACAAAGCATTTTAGATGTAATTAAAATACACACAAACAGTCACTTTCTCGTGTATCTCATCATTCATTCTCCTCTCACCTCTGCCTCATTCATTCTCATTCAGCCTCCCTGATCAATACCTGGAAAAACAGATATGATGCTAAATACACGCCCACACAGTCCTGTTCTCACCTCTGTGGTCTGTCTTGCCACGGCACGAGGCAAAGACAAGAGGTTCTCTCGCACTGGAAGAGCCATCCACATACTCCAGCTTCTTTACCCGTCCTTCGGCCACAGCAAAGAGGGAGAAGGGAGAGGGAGGGAGGGAGGGAGGGAGAGCAGGCAGGGTGGGAGGGAGGGAGGGATTGAGGGTGGAGAAAGGGAGGGATGTGAAAGAAAGTGATGAGAGAGAGAGAGAGAGAGAGAGAGAGAGATTAAGCCTCCCCAGATGAGATCTGTGGTGCAGAATTTGAATTGTGTCCCAGGAGTATAAAGCAGTATGTACAGAGTGCGAGGCATGCATGCAAACAGTACAATATTCACTGTACCGTGGGTGTTTATCTATAATGTATTAACACTGCTAATGTGTGTGTGTGTGAAGATGGCAGGGACAGCGGTTCACTCACATTGATGTGTGTGGGTGTGTCTCAATTTATGCAAGAACATCTGAGGGTTCTTGGAAGCACACATTCTTTAGGACTGGAGATCATTCACAAGGATGAGATGTTTGCGAACACTGTATTTTATAGTCAAGGTTATTCTGTGTTTGAACCATGCATGTGGATAGGCTCGGAAACACTCTGTGCGACAGCTTAATGTTTGATTTTACATGACCAACAAGGAAATGAAATTCATGACACTTTTTATTTTTACTTGCTGTAGTTTTCCTTGTAATGTTGCTTCAGTGTACTGGGGAAAAAACAAGGCAATGCTGCATGCAGTGAAATGTAATAGCACCTTTTTTCTGAATGGCTGCAGGACACTGCCACCTAGTGCTTCTTTTAAGGTGAGGCACCTCAGGTAAACATGGAGTTTATTTTCTTTTCTTTCAACAATTACAAGACTTTATGTGATTAAAAATATCGTTAAACCTTAAAAACACCTTTGTGATTTTTACTGTTTTAACTTGATGAATAATGAAATAGTAATCTGCACAGGGATATTTTAGGGTTATTTTAGTGAAATAATGAAATATTCATGAAGCAGTAAGTACGTCGAAGAAACATCTAAATTTGATCCTTTTTTTTTTTTTTTTTTTTTAAACGTAGTCCAAACAGATTTTAGGCTATTTAAGTCCCCCTCTTCTCAAAAACATGTTTTACTTATTGTTGCTTCATTCGGATTTTTAAGTGTATGTGCAGGGTTTGACACACAGAAGGCTGGTTTCACATTCATCTGCTGAAATTTGTGGTCCAGTATGAAACCTCCTGTGCACATACACTGAGAATGGACTTAAACTTTTGGAAAAAATAAATGAAAACAATAAAATATATATATATATATATATATATTTTGTGAACCCCTTTCTTGTCATTATTATTCCACAGTTGACTTCAGAGATCAACATAGAAGTGGAAATGTCATGTGACACTGGCTTCCTGCAGGAATCAAATGAGGAATGCATGGCATACATTTCAGACTGTTGACGTCCCAATTCAAAGCTATTTGTGTAGGTAAAAGTAGCATAACGCTCTTAATTGGCTACATCTAATACCTACAGTGCATGTGATGCATATGACAGCAGTTTATTTTAGCACAAATGGTTTGATCCTGACTTTATGGAATATTTTTATTTATTTTTTTACTAATATAACATCTCTAAATTGACCTACCTAATTGGGGTTCCTTGCCTTAAGGTATCATGTTCAATCATTTACTCTGACAATCTGTCACATGTTTTTGGGCCCTGAGGGCACAGTCTGTATGCTCTTGTATTTGCTGTCACATGTATGGAACAGCTGAACGCACAGAAGCTCTCTGCTAATCAAGGCAAACCCATGAAAGCATTCTCCTATTTTTGCCGCTATTCCCTTATGCACAGCTTGTTATCATTCTCAGCTGTTCACATTGAGACCATGCTCTATTTGTTTTTGTTTTTTTTTTTTTGTTTTTTTTAATCATTCTTACTATTTCAGGTTTAACCCACCTGGAAACTTGATGCACGACTGAGAGGGAACTATGTTGGCCTGGCGAGGGAGAAGAGGGGAGGACGGTAAAGAAATGGACACGCCCTTGGTCAGTCTCCTCAGTTTTTCAGTGTAGCTGCTGTCATGTTCCTTGAAGTGTCTGGCACGCCCACCGCCACCTCTCTGCAAGGTGCTGTGAGTGTACACCTCACCACCTACATGGAAAAGATGGGTAGAGAAAAGTTAGAGAATGGGCAGGTGTTAGGATTAAAGAAGCATTATTTAGAAAGCTTCAGCGTAGTTAAAAAGGTAGAGTTGATTCAACAGAACTGTGGCTGTGCAGCAGCTTTAACATATCACACAGAGAGAGCAGTATAAAATATGTCTCACATAAGGCTGCGACAGAGCGAACATATCTTGTCTTGGAGGCATATCGCTGAATGAGGTAATGGAAAGTTGGCAATGCTAGAACATCTATTTAAAGGAATGGGATCACACTCAATAATGAGGCTACACTTATAATTTTTCAATTCAATACTTCAATCATTTTCATGTCCAGACATTAAGCCTGATCTTGCGTCCTCAGATAAACATTATGCATGAGAACTCCCAAAGCCAGGTGGTTACAGAGACCTCACTGGCACCTACAGCATATTGGTTATACCAGATTGCAGGAGTTTTCCCTGTGGTATAATTCAGTCATTCACTTTCTTCTGCCTTAACAGAGTCTGTTTTTGCTGTTACTACCATGAGCAAAACAGGGACTCAGAGGTCCACTGCATAATATTACAAATTCACATGATATGCTGTTGCATAATTCTTAAAGGATTGCTACTACCCCAAGTGTTACAGGAACCATGGGGGTATCGCCTATGTTGGTGTGGTAGCACTTCTTTGCTTCAAAACTTTTAATGATCATCTTTCAAGAGGAAGTGATGTCTCTCTGCAAATGATCAGAGCCATACCAATGTACTGTAAACATACTATATCATCTTAACGAGACTCACACAGTTCTCTATCTTCCTCTATGTTCTTGCTACCCAGAGCAGCATATTATGAAATATTAATGAGCAACATGGTTGCTCTAATACTGAGCTCTGCTTATGTTCATCTATCTCCACTGTGCAATCTGAAATCTCCTCTATACTGCAGCAAGTTGACAAGTTCATCCTGTGAAAAATACAAACAACTGAATTTCAACAGGAAAATCTTCCAGGTGTTCAGCACAACTTTCAATTCACACTACAGTGACAGCACTACGAAACATTCAGCTTGTTTACAGCAGATATCAAGTTCACAGATTAACCTCATTCAGTTAGAAACCATTCACAAAATCTTCTGAAATTCAGTATGCTTTTAGTAGGTCAGCATGTTTGCCTAACCCACTCTAACTTCGCCTGACACACTTTAAATGCAAGCAGCGGGACACTGTGTGAAGGACAGAACACACTGATGAATTAGGCTAATTGAAATGGCTCTACTTATATCACCCAAGAGAAGAGAAGCTGAATGAAATAATGCAAGAGCTTGTGTGTACATCATAAGATAAAGCTGCTCCTATACATGTTTGTGATCAGGGACAAGAAAGTACATTCCATTATGATGATAAAAACAGTGATAAGATGTCATTAAGGCAACCAAGATACATGATACATGCCCAAGGGTGCAGTATTGACTTATTATTGAGCTGACATACCACAGTTTTGTTACACAGGTAGTTTCAGTGGTGTTGTTCTTACCTGGATGCCTCTGGCTCTTCTTTTCTCCACGTTTTCCTCCTCCCTCCTTCTTGTTTCCAAACACTGCTCTGAACATAGCTGGGCTGTTGCGTCACTGTCTACCGCCTGTGGAAGACTAAGCAAATTGTCAATTTAAATTAGGAACACATTATTTCAGGCACCATTACCCCAACTGTTAGTTCTTAATTCAACTGTTGGAGAAGCAGTTTTAATTGGTGCTTTCTGAGACCATAATGACAAGTCAGTCTTTGTCGGTAATTTCTTTACATAATCATTAGTGCACATAAAGGTGTTCACACATAAAAATGATGTCATCTTAAAATTAAGCCCAGATTTACCTGTTCTTAAGTCTTCTTTGATGATCGCATTCCTTCACATAAATCCACGGGACGCCGATGGTGGACCATTTAAACTCGCGGAGTCCAATTAAGAAGTGCTGCGTCTCCTCAGTCAATTCACAGAGTGAGAGAGGGAGACGCGGTTGCGCGCGTCGTGCACATGCGTGTGTGTCTTATATTCCTCATTTGATGTAGGCCTATCCTGTATTAGCATATCATATTAATAATTACTAAAAATAGGGTATTTCATTTGGTCGTAATGATGTTTTCTTATGTATGTCAGGCCTGTGTAACGTTTTACAAAGTCATACATTAGATAAAGGTAAGATTAATATTTTGCCCTTATATGGCATCTCGAGTGGAATTATGGGTATTTATGTAAACAAGGTTATTTTACATAATGGATAATGAGGAAACTGGTCAGATAGAACTTATTACAGCGCACTTTGTAAATTAGGGTAAAAAGGAGTCCTCTCCATCTCCAACAGGGGGCGACAGTGTAAACTAAAATTTCCTCTTCGTCCTCAAGGGGGCGACCACGAGCCAAAACTGATAACCTATTTAATCTGGAAACTCCAGCTTCATCGGTCCTTTCACTGACTGTCCACACCCGAAGTGGAAGAGCTCGAAATCCGTCTTCAGTGTATAATGCAAAACAACCTCAGTGGTTCAATCATGCCCACCGACATGATTTGTTGTAAGTATATTACGTCGCTATGTTAAGAGAAACAAGTAGCGTTAACGGTTAACGACGCAGAGTTTTAGTGTTAAACCTCAATCTGAACACGTGTACTAGGGCGTACTAGCTTGACTAGGGCCATTTTGTAACACTATCGGAATCCCTTTCAAATAACCAACTTTGGGAAATGCCAGCTACGCAATATTAATGATTAAGTTAGCTACATGGGTACCCACACAAAGGGTCGTAAAGTGGTGTTCGGTAAGACAAACACGGGGTACAAACTTTAGCATACCACCGGGTATGCTACATTGCTACCATGCCCTCCTCTAGCTAATGTTAATGCTGACTTGAATTTTGAAGCCAACAGTGAAGTTCCAATCTCTCAATTTCAGGAGGTGAACTGAAGTATTTCAGTGTTTGTTAGTAAATTATTATATCAATGAATTGTTTGATTAATTTAATCAGCAGATTAGTGGCTAATAGGAAATTATTGGGGCAGACCATGGCAGATATGCTTATTAATTCTCCACTTTAAGATTCATACATAAATCACTCTTTCAGCTGTAGATAATTTAGATTTTAAATTATTCTGTTTTAACCCCCTGTCCTCGAGTAATCTTATGTGATTTACTTGCTGTTGTGTTAGAAACAGCTTTGCACCACTAGAAACCTACGTTCTGAAGTGCAGTGACGACAGATTGAGTTTGAGAAAGTATTTTCTCTTTATAGGGAGTACTGAACAATAATCCCTCTTCTCCTGCATTTTTTTCCCTAGCGGATCATATGCCATTTGTTGGACACCTGATGGAGCCAGATGGAGGAGGATGATGATGGTTGTGGTGTTTGAACTTCTGCAGAATGTCTCAGTAAACACCACAGTCTGTTAGGACTGTATAATTACTTGTGATAAACTGGGTGTGAGAAAGCAGCTCCAACAAGAGGAGTTCTACCATCCGCATCAAGTCTGTTGGAAAATGTATGTAAAGATATGTCTAATTTTGTGGTGATGTATGTTTAGGTCTTACTGTTGGTCACAAGCTGCATCTTTGACAGCCTGGGCTCTCTGGTGTGAGAGATCCTGGGTTTTAATATTTCAGATGCAACATTAAATGTCCCTGCGCTTTCTGCCCGCCTATTTCTATGGCGTCTCGGATTGAAGAGGGGAGGATAAATTAAAAGAAATGTAACAAACTTATATTAGACTTAGCTGTGCACATAATACAGACATTATTCTGTAAAGAGCCTGAATGGTAATGGCTGCTTCTCCCTTTTCCAGTCTCGTGGTTTAAGATTGGGGATGTGAAACCAGAGAGAAGATATCACAGCAGCTACAACACACTGTTGAGCAGTCTTTGGAAGAATTCATACTTTACAGGTGAGTACATTACTTTTACTCATTTGGCAGGTGCTTTTATCCAAAGGTAGGAAACCTTAGTGTAATTACTAAGTATTACAGCTATTCAGTAAGTGAAAGGAGATGAGGTGGAGAAGTGCATAGTAAGTGCTAGTTAGGTATGTTGGAGTGTTGTCTTCAGTTGGGGTAGAATTTGCATCCACTGATAGACCTGAAGCAGGCTACATTGGCTTCTGGGTTTGCATAGAGATGCTAAATTGAGCTTTCCTCGCGCTTTCTGACTGCTACATTCTACAGCAGAACAGATTGAATTGAGGAATACATGCAAGGTTATTGGACATGGTCCAGATTCACAGGTGAATTATATTTAGTGAGTATAGATTAGTGGATTGTTTTATTTCACCCACTGAATCTTTGTTGATTCCAGCACACTGCTCTTGCTTTCAAGACAGACATAGGATCAGTACATCGTTAATGTTTTAGTCCCTGAAACTGTCTAGTGAAAATGTCTAGGTGCATCATTAATTCATTCAATGTGTTTATCAGGCAGCTTATAAAAGCATTTTACCGTTTTTTTTTATACTGTTTACCCAGTTTTGTTAAGCTCCCGAGGCACAAATATTCACCGCAGTATGACTTTGTGACATTGATGCTTTTGATTTTGATTTTCTTATGGGACTGGTGTCTGCAAAAAGTGCTATATAAATAAACTTTACTTAGTTTACTGTGTTGGATGTTAATGTTCTTAATTTTCTTGCAGGTAACAAGCAAGACGCTGCAAACACCTGATGGAGAATGGAACAGTGGAACATTTTTCTCTTCTATCTGATGCCAAACAAAGTTAATAGTAAATGTTTTTCTATTTGTCATACTTCGTTTGCCATATTTGATCACTGGCAGGTCTTCATCTGCCAGAAGCACTGCCTGTCATGTAATAGATCGAAGGAGTATGAATCTGAATACTTGTACATCTGATGTGTCAAACTGGCATCATTTTGTTTGTAATAAAAGCTATTGAACTCCCGTCTCATTTAGCATTTGTGAATTTAAGTTTGAACTTGCTACATAGTTTTTAAACTGTAATTACTGTATGGTAGTGTGAAAGTTACAATCAGTAGTTTGAGGGAACTATCAAGTTATCAACAGCTGTGGAAGCAAATTTCATTTTAAACTACTCTCTAATCGGCTACTGCTGATCTGTATAAATATTATACAGATCAGTGTTAGATTAAAAAGTTGGTAAGCCATTTAAACGTACAAATATTATGCTGTTATGTTAAGTGGTAACAGAGTAAGGCAACAATATCGGCTCAAACTCAGGATGTCAAATGCAGATTAGCTGTAAGAAAGCTGCTATGGCTGTTTGGTGGTACTGCTTTGTGTGTGGGGTCATTATGTTTGATGCCAGTCTAGTACAAAGTTAAGATTTATAAAAACTTACTATTGAAACATTTATTGCATAAGTCAATCAAATGTAAAACACTTTAAAATTAACAGTTAACATAACACACAACAGCAATGGTGTAGATTTTAAAATTTTGCCAATGCAAGTCATGGTGGGGAAACCTGTTAATTTGTATTTCTAAAAAAACATTACACATGTAGAAAAAGAAACCTCAACACATCAGTTCAGTGGTGAGGGCCATTACCAGTGTCACATCCTTCCTTTGTTAACATTTATCCATTAAACATTAAGCTCCTTCCCTCTGGATATACTTGTCAAAACATTAGAAAAATAATTCAATGCTAAGAACGAGAGTTCATAAACACATCTTTTGCTTCATTAAATACTACACCCTATGCCTCTGACAGACAAAACAACTAAGTCAAATACCAGGGGGCTTTTACCTTGAGGCCTTACAGGAGCTATGATGGTGTGCACTTGAGCATAAACCTCAAGTTGTTTCCCACTGTCCCTCCTTTTTGTCTCCTACAAAATAAGAAGATACAACAACCTCTCCTTGTAAAATTCAATCTTTGCTTGACCTCATCATCTGGTGTGTTTTGGGACCTGATTGTAAGGAAATCAGGGGTGAGCTCCAAGGCCCGACCTGGGGGGGGGACCTCTGTCAAATGAAGAGGTGGTGCATCGACCTTTCAAAGGGTCAGAAACTACTCGTCAGTCTTTTCCTCGCCTTGGTAATGTCGGTACTCTGGCTTGAGCTCCCAGGTATTTTTGTGTGTTCCCTTCACATTGTAGATGCCAATATCTCGCAAGATTTCCTTCAAGTAACTCTGGGAGAAGGAAAAAAACAAATATGAGAAAAGATTAATGTAATCCCTCAGTGTATAGGAATCGGGTATAATAAGTTCATGTGCTTCATATGGAGGACATGAACTTATTATACCTGATTCAGTAAACATTCCTCAAAATAAGAAGCTTCAACATGTACTTTGGACACTAGATGTAACAAGCAGTACCAGTCGAATTTTATGCACTTAAGTCACACTAAATCTCATCATGAATATAATTTCCAGGGCTAACAGTGTTGTTTGAAATCAGTCAGTATTAATAGTGTTATAACCACAGCCCCCATGTTGCCCGCTAGTCTTACCACAGGCTGTTTCGTGATATCCACCAGGTCTTTGATGTTGTAGTACTGGTGCTTCTCAAAAGCAGAAAACAGCATGTCCAACACCTGCTGTTTGTCAGCTCTTGCTCTCTTGCCCTCCTCCTTCTTTTTCCGCTCATACTCAAGCTGCAGCAAAAAGTAACAAACAGTGGTCAGGTATTACATATCATGTTCTAAAGAAAGCAAATGTCTTTCCTCCGATTAATTTCCATTTGTGTCCATATTGATAAGACTAGAAATTTGCTTGAGATAGATAATTCATCATCCCTCGGGTCAGCAACAAACAATATGCTTAGCAGCAGTATAACATATTCATGATTTGTAGTAATTTGAGACAGTATTTCTATGGACTTTTAAATTTATGGTAAATACTTGCCCAAGTGCATCAATAAACAGTATGATGAAAATAACTGAGCAGATGACTAAATCCTGTATTCTGGATTTATTTCTTACATTGTAAGCATGGTTGGCCACAGGTTTGTAGTTGCTGGTGACAGCTTTATCCAACTGTTGTGACAGCCTGGCTGGCTTAGAGGACTCTTCTATTTGTAACCTGTTAGACAATGAAAATAATTTTTAATTGGCAAGTACAATACATCACAAACTGGGTGACCTGAAATAGGAATAATAACAGGAACACTTCTCTTATGTAATTAAATGTAATACAATAGCTCTGCAATTATTACTATGTTTACGTAATTAGATGATTATTATATATAAAATCTAAATTAAAAAAGATTGTGCCTATAAATCTTGAATACGCTGTATATTTAGATGTATACGAGTTACTCAGTTTACCTTTATTTATAGATGTAATTAAGATTTTTTAGATGAAACAATGACATTAAGATGTCTACATACAGTACAGTCTTGCTGATGAATTTTTTTTATCCAGACTTATAGGTGTGACACAAATGTTGGACTATGAGGTAAACAAAACTGGGCTAAAAAGACTATAACATGGCTGACATTTATGGGAGTTAATGTAACTGGCTGGGCGCAATGCCCAAACTTTTGCATAGTACTGTACATGATAATGTAGATGTAGGATAATACATGATCTACATTCATGCAGCTAAAATAGCAAATGGGATGCAGGTTCAGTTTCTTAACCCTAGCTTGTGTTTGCACACCATTTTAAAAATACTCACCTCTTTAGTCTCATATAGCTTTCACTAACAGCAGGTCTGCACTCTGCTCTCTGTACCACCACTCCCTCCAAGGCTATTTTATCTGAAAAAGAGCACAGTTAATTAAAAGCTCAATAATTACTTAAAGTCTCAATGAAGGAAGGGTGACTGGTTGCAAGTGTGTAAGAAAGAAAGAAAGGATGAAAGCCTAAACTATTAGTGAACAATGGTGCAATGTGTTTAAAAAAAAAAAAAAAAAAAAAAAAAACACCCCAGAAACAAGGGTTTGCAAGTTTATGAATCTAATTTGGTCCAGGCTCTGTCCTAAAGTTGAAAGAAATATGTCAGGGCAATCAAGGGTCAGTTTCTGTTACTCATCACAATCTGATTACAATAACACCAAGTCAAATGTGAAAAGTTCATCTATTATTCAATGGTATTACTATTATTATTTCCACAGTTAATTCTAATTCAGTCAGTGAATTTCTTTTTTCTACAAAAACAAAACAAACAACAAAAAAAAAAAAAAAAATCACACAACCACTTTTTCCAAAACAGTTTCCAAATCAGCCACATTGGCCGGCTACTGGCTCAGAATGGAGATCATAACTAACCTTAACTAAGCAACATTTTCAAAATTGATTACTGCGGTTTCTTTGATACTGCTTCTTTACATGCATGTTAATACACTACTGTTGATTTTCACACTTGATTAGAGTGCAAATGAGCTATCCAGAAGTCAGTAGTAGCTTTGGCCTTCTAAGGATAAGCAACAGTCCGCTGGCTGTAGGAGTTGAGGACCTAGACAGTTTGTCTTAAATACAACAGCTTTACTAGTTTCACCAATCAAAAAGAAAATTAAGTGAATGAAGGACTTAAATACACTGAGCAGGTAAAAGACAAAAAAGCCCAATTCTTTAACAACACATCACCGAAGATGCCACTTGATCACATCACAGAGTCTTAGCTTAGTTATATGTAGTTTTGAAGGACGTTTTGCTGATGCACATTGGGTAGATCTAAACTACCATTTATGACAGTCAGATATCAATCTGCGAACACGTCATAACTCACATTACAGCCATTACACCGAGCAGGTAGCTCTGTGCTCAAGCGCAGTCTTAACCCATCCTGACCACATTTCCATCCTCCAGTCAAGACAGTGCAAACTAAGTGCAGATGCTTGATATGAATGGCACAATTTTGCTAATAAAGAGAAGAGGACACATGGCAAAAGTGGGCGCTACATGGTGTCAAGGTGTCTAGAGTTTTAGTACCAATACATGCATCTTCCAAAGCATGTATGTAGGTTACTACTGTGATACTACAAACGCCATTTATTAAAAAAAAACAAAAAAAAAAACAACAAATTGACACTGACAGTGCGTCTGATTCCCAATGGTGGAACTATGTCACTCGCTGGCAACGCAGAGGACTCACCTGGACCTGCCCCCGCCCCCGAACCTGAGCTGCTGCCATCAGATCTCTCTTCTGACTGGCCTACAGGGAGGGAGGGAGGGATGGTAAACATGAAAATACAGGGGATGGAAGACGGATGGAGGAGGGGATCGAACAGTAAGAACCACACCCGGGGTTTAGTCGCACACGAAAACGTTTAATCACACAGACTTCCTCTGTGTAATCTCTGATGAGTACACGCGCGTGCGCATGAGCAAAGCAAGCATGCCCTTACAAAAAGCGAGCACAGATACCCTGTCCCAGCAAAAATACACACCCACGACAGGGCTGCACAAATACTGAGCTTATTATTTAAAAAAAGAACATATTTTACATTAAAAACACTTTGTTACCAAAGCATTTCTCCAGTTTTAAGTTAAATAGTGAAGACTTTACTGGATTTCCATTCAGGTCTCTATTGAAAAAGAAATTTCATATCAAGACATATCAGACTTCTGAAATGCCTGTGGCTAAAACAAAAACAATTTCAACTGTGCAGCCCTAACACACACATACATACACACACAAAATGGTTTCCCAAAATAAGCACAGTAGCACAAGCTCACCAGCACCCATAGCCACAAAATGCCTTCATTACATTCAGAGGGCAGACAAGGCTGGTGAAATTAAAACCAAACCAAAGACACCCATGCACAAATTCAATCAACTCCAAATTCAGGAATGATTTGTGTCAATACTGATCTACTCTATGTTAAATTAATTCCAAATGGGGCCATTTTGCCTGATCATATACCCAATCTGCTGAGGTGATTGGTAGCAGACTGAAAAGGTCAAACCACGACAAATGAGTGACAGGTGATCACACGCTTAAGCTGAAATTCCCTTATAGAGACAGAAACACAGATCAGACTGGATGAAGACAAATTTTCAACAGACCAGCTCTCTTCTATTTTCCATTGAGTGTTTACTTGTCCATTATGTACAGTACATTTCTCATTTGTGCACTGTTAGAACTGTGGACAACTTCACACTCTAGGAAAAATGTGCTGAGAATTCACAAAACACGAGATGAGCAGGGACAGGCAAGGGAAGGACTGTGCATGACAACAGCAAGCTGTACAAAGAGTAGCGTGGGATGGGCACCTCCACCACCTGATAGAACTTACCTCTGGGCTCTAGTACAAACAGATCATTTATATCACAGAAAACTAATAAAGCAGACACTTAGCATCCCCTTGCTAAGCTGAAAGAGGAAAACAGAAACTCACCTGATGAAGTTTCTGTGAAGACTGCCAACATCTGACCTCCCACTGACTGCATGGTGAACGGGTGGTCTCGGGGCGCAGACACTGTTTTGTCTTCTATACCCTGAATCACAGTCAGCTCTTCATTCAAAGTGAAACTGACCTGTAAAGAAGCGGCATCATCCGTTATTAATAAAATTCAGAATGAAGAATGCATCTGCACTACACCATAATGATGGCAGTCATAAATTACTGCGCATGTATTACATGTGTACATCATCTCGAGAGAGAGCAAAGTCATAACAACCCCACAACGTGAGTACAAGTTCAGATATTGCACTGTACATGGCATTGTCTGTGGGAGATGTGATGTCCATCACCAGGATGAATTGCACTTCTTTTAAACATCGCTTACCTCTGGTTTTCCTTGGTTCCCCTTCCTTGGAGATAAAAAATAATGAACAAAATTAGGATAAATTGATTGGTAACAATAACAGGCCATTCAAATTCATCTGAAATGCATTAGTAAAACTATAACAACAAAACACTGCTTGTAGTTCACCACTAGTTTATCCTTCATCAGCACACACTGAATTTCAATTTTCTCTCTTCCCTTTCCAAATGTACAACATGTTGTGTACTGACTACATCCCTTGTCTTAAACAAAGAGACACACATAAATAACTTAAACTTGGCAGGCTGACTACTACTATTTTACTGATGCTCAGTTGTTTCACATACTTGCAGATTCTGAGTTTCCCGACCTCTCCTCTGCCAGTCGCTTTTGCCCATTGCTGAGAGAGATATTTGGGTACCTGCATGGAGAAACACGGGTATATTTTATGAGGGCTGTTTTCATAAAGGACATTAACAAAGGATAACTTCGCCTGGGCTGATATGTTTAACACTATGAGCTGAATCACATTAGTGACAGTATTTCCCTAAACTAAAAAAACACAGTTGTCTCATATATTGTAATTTTCTGCATGAACAGATTTTGCACTAAAGAATCCTCCAGGCAGGTTTCATACAGTTTGGCCAACTTCAGTTTCGAGAAGCAAATTAACACTTCAGGTAAGAGTCTAAGTCAGTGTCTAGCCTGTGTTATCGGTTCTCTACTACCAGTTGCAACACACTTTTCCATCGAAGGTGCAACTTTCTTCAGACCTCAGCTGCTGCCAAACTCTCTAGATAAATCAAGTTACATAGCGTGTTGATTATTAAAACGTAATTGTATGTTGAGTAGTTGTGATCAATTTACCTTGGCTAGCTAACAATTAGCCAGCGTTAGCTACAACGCATTCGTTCGTTCCGGGAGACGCTAAGCTACATGTCTCTTAGCCTTTGCTGCTGTTTAAAATGGTAACTAACTTAAATATCCCAATAAACTAGCGCTATTAAAAGGGCTATGTACGCACCTTTACAAGCCATACACCCGTGTTCTGCTTGGCACCAGTTAGATCAACTTCTCCTTTCTCTGACATGTTTTAAGACGATGCTTCTCAATGCAACCGCCACACGCATGCGTAAAACAAAGTATGGCAACCCTGAAGGCTCACAATAGTTTCATGTTCCTCGAGACGCACAAGATTAAATATGCTTTGATAAGAAAAGGCTTTTGCAGGGTTCATCTTTTATGAAATTGATTTTTTTTAAAGACTTTTCAAAACCTTTAGATACTCGGAAAAAAATAACACATGGGTTTAAAAAAAACAAAGTTTAATCATCTTGAGATAAAATAATTAGGAAGAGCAGTTTTCTGGACACCGGAAAGACTGCAAAGCTACAAGGGGTGTATGCAGCATAACAATGCATTTTACAGCAATCTGTACAAAAGGTTTTACATAAAAATCAAATAAAGGTTTAAGAAAAGGATTGTTATATTGTCATACATAATATACTCACTCCTAGAAAAATGCTAGCGCCATTGGCTTCTGCTTTATAACAGCTTGAAATATTTGTTGTAGCAATTTAGTTTTTTTTTTCTTCACAAAATTAAATTCTCCATTTGTGTAACACATCAGTATCTGTAGAAACAGTCCATGTTGTGAAAATGCTTTATGAAAATTTCACTAGCTGAACTGTAGCTGGAAGTCTGCACATTTGGACACATTATCTTTTAACAGTTTGTTAGAGGAACATTTTGTCCTTGCTGTGGGAGAACCGTGTGTTGAGTTCCTGAGATTTCTTCAGTAGCCGCTGCTTCTGTGCTTCATCAAAGCGATTCACCTGCAGATCTTCATCCCGATCAAACGGTCTCCTCTCCACTGGTTTGTCAGCCTTTTCCTTTGCTTTCTCCTTCATCTTCTTTGTGTGTAAACTAATCAGAGACTCCCCACGTTTAGACTCCTGATAACAGGGAGTGGGTAGAGAAATTTGAGTTTAATGTGAACTTTTAAAATGTGCATTACATCTGACATTAACTGTATCTGGGGACATTCAGGAAAAAAAGAATGATGAAGTAATATCACTTACATTATACTTAGACACTTTCTCTGCCATTTCCAAGTCCTTGTGGGAGACATGAGGGACACTGTCTTTCTCTGACTCACCCCTCTTCTTCCCCTCAAGGCGTTCCTATTAGTCAAGAATAGATCCATGAAATACAGGGATGTAATATATAGGCTAGAAGATGAATAAGAATAAGAATAAAGATAAGTTGTTTTTCATTAACTACCCTGGCCTTGCGCTCCCTGTCTGCTGGTGTGTCTGTCCAAATGGAGCGGTCTTTGTTCTCTGGACCCGATCTCTTCTTGAAAGTTCGAGCCCCTAAGCCAATGTGCTGCAGTTCTGGTGGGAGCTCTGTCATCCATGTTTCTCTGGTCAGCTCCTCAGGAGTGTTCTGTTTACACATTAACACACACAGGATCGAATTCAGACAGCAAAGGAAGAAAACTTTAAAAGGCAAAAAAAAAAGAACAGGAGTAGGAAGAGGAGAACTAGCCCCAAATATGTCACGTAAATATTGCTACTGTGCTTTTATGCTCATTTTATGCTTTTGTGTTGAGAGGTGAATCCATATATGTTTACCTGAAGAGTTTGTACAGTGCAGACTATGCAGATACAACTGGGGGAAACAAATGAGGACTCACATCTCCTGTCAGCTTCTCTTTCATCTTTCGTGCTCTGCGCTCAAAGTCCTGAGCCACAGAGTCTTTTATAGGCCCCTTGGCTGGCATGGGTCCAATTGTATCCTCATCCTCTCCTTCACTGCTGGAGGGCTCAGGCTGGTAGCCTGGAGGTAGGGCAGGCCCTGGGAAACCCTCTCCATCTTCACCATCATTATTATCATCATTATCGTATGCTGCTCTGCGAAACCCAGGAGGTAAAGCTGGTCCCAGCACAGGTGGCCTGCGGGAACACAATGAAGTTACAGCTTCCATAATTAACTGTTTATCCACACTGTTATCCTCAACTAATTATATTCACTTCTTCTACTTCACTGGAATAAACTATAAAACGTAATTGCTCACCTTTCTGGTGAGCTCTGTTGTTTCTTAAATCCTGGTGGGAGAGCTGGTCCAAAGAAACCATCATCTTCTTCTTCTTGTTTCCTTGATTTCTCCACCCTGTTCAAAAGACATATGTTACTAATTCATTAGCATTTTCTGAGAAGACATCATTTATAAAGTGGTTTTAAGTTGTAATTAATGGCATTATTAATGGCATTATCAATGGCTAGTAAATAATTTACCAATGCTTTATAGATCAGTTATATGTCATAAATAAGACAAAGATGTGGTGGAAAATCCTCCTTCAGCATGACACATTCATGGTTGCTCTTTAATTCCTTATGGAGACCACTTATCTTCTTGAAAAGGACTGCAGGACCAAAACCCAATTATAAACTGCTTATTAAAATTTACAACTGCAGACTTTTTTTGACCATTTACTAACTTACAGCGTTTGACTAGCTGCTGATATGCAAATCTAAAATAGTACAAATGAAGATAGAACAATATAGTAAATGTTTTTAAATTTAAATGTCTGTTCTTCGAATAAAGACACTCATGCACTGATGTGTGTCCTGTTTCTATAAAATGATTTGGTAATAACATGGTGTGTCTCTATACAGTAATAATGCATTTTTAAATGTTGGAAAACCATTAATAAGTATTTAGAGTTTCATACTTTGTAATAAGTGATCAGGTTTGCAGTTATAAATGTTAATATGAAATTATCACATAAAGGATCTTGGTCAGGGCTGCAACTAACAATTAGTTTTTTTTTTGACGTTTAAACTGCCAGTTATTTTCTCTGAATAATGCCAGATGCAGATCCATGCAATTTCTGAGTCGAAGGTTATGTCTTCATGCAGTGCAAAAAAGATATTAATTTTACCATCATATATGACAAAGAAAAGAAACAAATTCTCACTTTTGAGGAAATAACTTAGACGACAAGCAAACAGTCGGGCGATTTTTCACAACCTGGCAACCCAAAAGTTGTTATTATTAATGGTTTATAACAGATCTATAAAGCATTAGTTAATTATATATTAAACATCAACAGATCGATTACAACTTGTAAAGTCTTTAAAAAATTGCCTTATCAGAAAGTGGTCATTTATAATTCACTAGTGAACCTACTCTGCAGGTCTGTCTCCAGGTGTGTGTTTTGTCTTCGCTCTTTTGACCGACACCTCCTGCTCACTCTCATCTGAGGAGCTCGACGGTTCTCCCCGTTTATAGCCCGGAGGCAGAGCCGGGCCAGCGACTACAGAGTTCAGGAAGAAAAATAATAAACAACTAAAACTGTTGGTGATTAATACAACGTTGAATTTAATGTACGAATGTCTGAGGGTCTCTGGCAAAATATATTAGGTTTCATACTTACATCCTTCTTCATTGTCAGAGTCTTCGTCGCTCTCTTTTCTGAACATCGGGGGCAAGGCAGGTCCGACTGGTTTATCAGACGACATATTTGACACTGATGAAGTCTTTCCTCAGTCACGTAGTTTCAGTAATTTCAAATAAAGTTAGAAAGCTGCCCAATTCGCCAAAGGAATACAGTGTACGAGGGAACTTCGCAGGGGGAATTTCACCTTTCACACAGGAAGTAAACACTGACGCTCCAGTATCGTCTGTCAAGTTACCTGAGGTTGGTCGCACTAAAACAGAAACTCAGCAATTGTGCTGCAAGAATAAAAAACAGAATAAATTACATGTTTTATCTGATACATTATACCTTGTACTACCAGACTTGATCACCATGCATTTTTAAAAAGACAGGTCGTGTTATTTTCTTATTTTAATTTTTTTCTTCTTTTTTTTAATGAACATATTTCATTCAGATTTTGGTTGGCAACTAAACCCTCTGTTTCCTTTCATTTCATTAAATTAATTGGTAACTACTCTGATACTTGTTTAAGTTATTTTTCATGTAAAAATGTTCAACTTCAGCTTCTCAAATGTGAGAAGCATGGCTGCTATTCCTTTTAATAGTCTTAATTATTTTTTAATAATTTTGAGTTTTGGACTATTGGTAGGACAAAACAGGGATTGTGGAGGTGTCACTTTGGATTACTTGAAGTAACTGTGATTGTATTTCTCATTATTTTCAGATTTTTTTTATAAATCAAATAATCATTGATAAATTCAAAAAATAATCAAATTAAAAACACACGAATTTTACTTCTAATGGAGTATTTTTACAGATTTGTATACGTTCTTTTACTCAAGTAAACTTAAGTATGTTTTTCAAAGTACTTCTCAAATTAATTTTCCTCAATTCTCTTTTATTATGAAGGTTACCGGAAGTTATTTTCTGTTATACTTTAACGTGTTTAACGATAGTACTGGTTTCTCGTAACTAGAGCATCACGCACCTCAGTCCAGCTTTGTTGAATTTCTGGAGGACAGATGGATGGTTATGAAGATAAATCTGACATGTTTTGAAAGAATTTGCTTATTTACAAGTCTGTAAGATGGGTAAAAGGGATAAAGGAGACCGTGGTGAGTTGTTAATGTTGCGTTTTTAACCTACCAAGCTAGCCATTAGCTAACGTTAACTTCGTGGCCATTTGAAAGATGAAGATTCGAGTGCCTGGAGGAAAAGTTTTACTGAAACTCACAGATACGGGTGTAACTGATGAGATAAACACCACCTAAAATGGCAAAATGATACTTCAAAGACTTATTGGCCACATTTTAACACATAAACACAGATGGACATGAACCTGTGTAATGTTAAAATGCCATACATAGTACCAAAAGGGAAAAAATGTTACTAAGCAGAGCAGTTGTAGTAAAGGGATATACTGATTTATAAAGAGTCATTGATTTTATCCGTGCTGTTTAAATCCTAAAACAAGAGAATTTATATTGATAAATTACCATCTTATTACTGAGAATGGTTTCCAACTCTTATGGTCGGCTACAGAAAAGAGGCCCAAAAAGCGTTTCTATGAGGAGGAAGAAGATGAAGAAGAGGTGGTGGGAGGCGAGTCTCAGGAGGCCATACCTGCTGCTGCAGGGAAACAAGTGGATGAGTCCAGTACAAAACTGGATGAGTATGGAGCCAAAGACTACCGTGTTCAGATGTTGCTAAAGAATGATCATTCTTCACGGCCCCTCTGGGTGGTAAGACATGTTTGGACTCACTTGAGACAGTTAAAAATTAAAACAATATTCCAAAGGATGTTTTCTTGTATTTTGTCATGTTCTTTTATTTTCTTTCATTCTTCTCTCCTCCAGGCTCCAGATGGACACATTTTTCTGGAAGCCTTCTCACCAGTGTATAAGTACGCCCAGGATTTCTTGGTGGCCATTGCAGAACCAGTGTGCAGGCCTAACTACATCCATGAGTACAAGCTGACGGCTTACTCCCTGTATGCAGCTGTCAGTGTGGGGCTGCAGACCTCTGATATTGTGGAGTACCTGCAGAAACTCAGCAAGACATCTGTACCTGATGGAATTGTGCAGTTCATTAAGGTCAGACTGAGCACTGAGGCAGGGAAAGGTTATTGGAAATGTCTTCCAAATGTATTATTTTTAATGTTGTGTGCAAGGTTTTGTTGTTTCATCACTGTATTTAATCCCTCTCTATCTCTCAGCTCTGCACAGTGAGCTATGGCAAAGTCAAGTTGGTGCTCAAGCACAATAGGTAAAGTAATTTCATCAAGCATTCCTTCTATCTTTGCTTCATTAATCATCACTTCAGTGCTCTTTTTTAAACTGTGCTGCCTGTCTACCCTTAGGTATTTTGTTGAGAGTGCCTTCCCTGATGTGATCCAGCGCCTTCTGCAGGACAACGTGATCCGTGAATGTCGTCTCCGTACTGCAGATGGAGCAGACACTGAGCTTATTACTGAAGTCATCCACAGCAAGTCAGCGGTATATCATGCAGCGTCTTTTTTTACTCGCACACATACATATAAAATGATTTATTATCCGAGTGTAATGTGCTGTAGTTCACATGCTGGGGACAGATCATACAGCTACTGCTAGGTAGCAGCACAACCAGGATTTTCAACCTGCGTGTAGTCACTCTTAGATATAAGATTATGCACGTATTTTAACAAAACAAGACTGATGGCACAAGGGAAATTATAAAATTATACTACCATCTAATTGAATAGCAATAATGAGACAAAATAACTCTGAATTTCCTGCTGGCCATGCTGTCCCGGTCATTCATGCAACATATGTCCCTCTGTGTGTCTGTCTGACAGATCTCCAAGTCTGGTCAGGAAAAGGGAGGCACTTCCACCTCACAGCAGCCCAGCGAGGGACAAACCTCAACCCAGCAGGTCCCCGAGGACATTTTCAGCTACTATGAGCAAATGGATAAAGAAGAGGAGGAGGAGGAGGAGACTCAGACTGTGTCCTTTGAGATTCGCCAGGTACATTACTACATACTTAACAATACTGCTGAACATTTTTTAAATCAGACTTTAAACAGATTTTCTGTTTTAATTGAGATTTTTTTTACAGGAGTATCATCATCAATCATCATTTAGTTTTGAACGTTATTGTCTTGGGCTTCAACTAACAGTTATTGTCATTATTGATTTATATTGTTTCTTATTTGTGATTGCTTAAATTGTCAGAATATATTGAAAAAATGGCAGTTGCATTTCATGCTGGTTCCTCATGCTGGTTTTTATATTGCACAGATAAACCTGGCTGCCTATTGCTTTATAAAATGGTCAACTGTAAAATGAGTGTGCGTGATTTGCAATTAAACTAAACCACATGGTAAACCAGCGGACAGTATATTTCATAACTAGTGTCTTAAAGCCACAGTTTGTGTGTTCTTATTTTATTTCAAATTAAATACCTTGCTTAACAAATTCAGTCATATTTTTATTCTCTATTCTTCTCTAATCTGGTGTAGGAGATGATTGAAGAACTACAGAAGCGCTGTATTCAGCTGGAGTACCCCCTCCTAGCAGAGTATGACTTTCGCAATGATACTGTCAACCCAGACATCAACATAGACCTGAAGCCCACTGCTGTGTTGCGGCCCTACCAGGAAAAGAGTCTGCGCAAGATGTTTGGAAATGGACGCGCTCGTTCCGGGGTCATCGTGCTGCCCTGCGGTGAGACAGCTGGTTTACTGCAGACAGAACATCGAGTGACAAAACACAAAGGAAACCACGTGTTTGTAGCATGAATGTCATGTGTAGAAAGCTCGTATGTCTCAATTATTTTATTACCCCTTTGCTTTTCTAGGAGCTGGCAAATCGCTGGTGGGCGTGACAGCGGCGTGCACGGTGCGTAAACGCTGCCTGGTGTTGGGTAACTCCTCTGTGTCAGTGGAGCAATGGAAGGCCCAGTTCAAAATGTGGTCCACTATTGATGACTCTCTGATCTGCCGCTTCACCTCCGACGCCAAGGACAAACCCATCGGTTGCTCGGTGGCCATCAGCACCTATTCTATGCTGGGTCACACCACCAAGCGCTCCTGGGAGGCTGAGAGGGTCATGGAGTGGATGCGGAGCCAGGAGTGGGGACTCATTATCCTGGATGAGGTGCACACTATCCCTGGTGAGCTGTTACACTATATTAGTTTTCCAGGAAACATTACCCTCCAGTGTTATGCTACGAATATTTTTGATGTAATGATACAATGGGATATAGACACATATCTGGCAGATCAATCAACACGCTCACATAATGATTCTGTGTTTTCCCCGTAGCCAAGATGTTTCGTCGTGTTCTAACCATTGTCCAGGCTCACTGCAAACTGGGGCTCACTGCCACACTGGTCAGGGAAGATGACAAGATTGTGGACCTCAACTTCCTAATTGGGCCTAAGCTGTTCGAGGCCAACTGGATGGAACTGCAGAACAATGGCTACATTGCCAAAGTCCAGTGCGCAGAGGTGAGTCTTGTAGTATTCTACTAGAAAATAAGGGACATAAACATCAGTTTTGATGCAAACCCTGGCTTATTTATTTTGAGGGTGTTAAATGTCGAAGGTGATTAATGTGCACTGTCTGAACCATGTACTGCCTGTGCTCCAGGTGTGGTGCCCGATGTCTCCCGAGTTTTACAGAGAATATGTGGCCATTAAGACGAAGAAGCGCATCCTTCTCTATACTATGAACCCCAATAAGTTCCGTGCTTGCCAGTTTCTCATTCGCTTTCATGAGCGGCGCAATGACAAGATCATTGTCTTTGCTGACAACGTGTTTGCCTTGAAGGAATACGCCATTCGCCTCAACAAGTAGGTTAGCTACAGTGGGAACAACTGAATTGTTTCTGTAAATTGTCTTTCTACATTAGATTTCTTAATGTTTTCAATTGTCCTCTCTTTGTCGGCTTTAGGCCTTACATCTATGGTCCAACCTCTCAGGGAGAACGTATGCAGATTTTACAGAACTTCAAACACAACCCCAAGATCAACACCATTTTCATCTCCAAGGTAAACCAGTCAATCTGTGGAGGATTTACCCAAATGTAAAGTGGACTGGGCTCCTTGAGCCACCATGTGCCCCCTGGTGGGCAGTAAGAGGGACACCAGTATTTGTAGACAACTAACATTTGCCTCCTCTCTGTAGAAGGGCTCTTTCTGTCTGTCAATGTGTTTACATGCATGGTTATAACTGGATAAAAATCAGATTCAATCAATATTCATGTTATGGCACATGCAATTTTTTAATGTTTTTTTTTTTTTATCCTTTTAGTAATCTGCACAGACTGTGTGCTACTTATTTATTAGTTCAGTAGTCTGATTGACATTTTATTGCTTGATAAGAGTGAGATGAAAGATTAACCCCTATTTGCACATTGTCAAAGATTCTTGGTGTAAGAGAAAATCAGAAGCATGTAAATGCATGCTGTCCTGCACAGTAATACAGTGTTGTTATTTCATGACTGTGAATTTGTACTACACCTCTGCTACCAAACAGGTTGGAGACACCTCGTTTGACTTGCCAGAAGCCAATGTTTTGATCCAGATCTCTTCCCACGGTGGATCACGCAGACAGGAGGCCCAGAGGCTTGGGAGAGTCTTACGAGCCAAGAAAGGTCCAAACAAAACAAAAAAAAAATTGGGATTGTTTGCTCATACATGACAAATGCTGACATTAATCTCTCTCCATCCATGGACAAATACAGTTATTCTCACTCCACCTGTTTGCCCGTTTAGGAATGGTAGCAGAGGAGTACAATGCGTACTTCTATTCACTGGTGTCCCAGGACACACAGGAGATGGCTTACTCCACCAAGAGGCAGAGGTTCCTGGTGGACCAAGGATACAGCTTTAAGGTGGTTTCTCTTACAAGTAACATTTAGACTTACAACCTAAATGCGCTAAAAGTTCATTTCACTTAGGTTTGGGCAAACTGATTTAATTATCGTATCAATTTTAAAAAAGCTTAGTTTATTTTAATAAAGAAATAGGATTTTTCTTTTTACTTTTGCTGTTGTCAATAGACTTCCCCCGGGCTAACCAGAACCTGATATTATGTATTCAGAAGTGTTTGGTTTCATCAGATCAAGTCTGGCTGGGATTATAGGGTGAAGTGATCCAATATTCACAAACAGTGAAATCTGAGAGTGATTCTGGCAACAGCCAATAGGAGGGACAAAACTAAGAGTGAACCAGAAAAGACACTGGTTTCAGAAAGAGCATCTTTCACTCACAGAGATATTTTACATCAGAAGAAGCCTCCACCTGTTCTTCTGTAGATAAAGATCTACGCAATTTTATTAGGAGTTCACATGGAATGACAAAGTGAAATAGGAAGTAATTTAAAAAAAGTTTTAGCAACATTCAAAAATGCATTAATTGCATAATTGCAAACATAAAAAAATGAAAATAAAAAACTAGTTTTTCTTAAATGTTTTGTGACAAATTCTTCAGGAGATATTTTATAATGTTTATGAATGCACAACTGTCTGCTTGATCCTTGGTCTTCATTTAAGTGACATTTCATTCTTGTTCCGTTTACAAATACTGTTTTTAAGTTGGCATGTTCCTCTTCTTTCTCAGGTCATCACAAAGTTGGCAGGTATGGAGGAAGAGGACTTAATGTTCTCCAGCAGAGATGATCAACAGCAGCTGCTTCAGAAGGTCCTTGCTGCTTCAGACCTGGATGCTGAGGAGGAAGTGGTGGCAGGGGAGGTGGGCACACGACCACAGGTGAGGACTATTGCCAAACTTAGAACACGTATGTGTAATTGCCTTTTGCATGCTTGCATCTGTGCTCTTGTATATTACAATATTCTCAGCTTTTTTATTTTTTATTTTATTTTTTATCCCTACCTGCTTCTTCATCAGTTCTCAAGGCGAGCAGGCACCATGAGCTCCATGTCAGGTGCAGATGACACTGTCTACATGGAATATCAAAGCCGAAGCAGCAGAGCCTCTGCGTTGGCCAAGAGCGTTCATCCACTGTTCAAGCGCTTCAGAAAGTAGATGCACTGACTCAGACCCTGACACCTAAAGACTTCTTCAGTTGCAATAGGGCAATAGGACGAAGTGTATACTGAGGCTAAGCATCAGACTACTAGCAGCAGGTTCAGGTAGTCCAGCTGGTCTGGAGAAGAAAGCAATGACCTGAAACTGAATATTGTCTTAAGTTAATGAAGATATACTGAATATTGCTTCCTCCTGGTAGCCGCTGGTGATGTTGGTTGAATTGACCTTTATAACTGGTACATCTGATAAGGATACAGGGAACGGTGCCTGTAGGTGCGGGATGAACCTCAAACGCCTACATGCACAACATTTGCAGATGAAACATCTGACAAACATTGCAAACGCTGTCCAAGTGTCAACTACTGTTTAAAAAAAAAAAAGTTTGCTTTTGTGTCATTTTTTATATCTGTGTTGCATTGCAGAGATGCAGCTCGCCAATCATGGCCTGCTCTGAAACAAAATTAGGTGTTGTTTATGATATTCAAGCTAGATTACACAACACTTAAGGGCTGTTTGCAGTAAATTTCAGCCACAGATGTCTGCATGTAAGATGAGAGTAAATGGCTACTGGAGTATGGATCAGATACAGATACAGATAAGCAAAATTAGCGCTTGAAGTAACTAAAGATCAGCTCTCAGTCATTTAACAGTGAATGGAATAGCCTGTGTTGTATCTGCTGCTGGTGGTTGATTCACTGAGAAAAATATTTGAGGAGGAAAATTATTTTTTAGTGGACTTCTGTCAGTACAGCTTTTTGTAAATGTGGCTACATTTTACACATTAAAACATCACAAATCTGTTAATGGTTCTCTGTGTTATTGTTCACTAATAAGTTTTTGTCTGGAATTTTCTTTTTTATAATGTTGCAAAATGTGTTTTTGTAAAAGAAATGTCTTTGGAATTTCCTTTTTTACATTTGAAATTGGTTAAACTTTGCAACAATCAAAAGGTGTCATAATAAGAAAATATAAAATTTCACAAGAAGAGATGATGAAAGAATGAAAGCTCTATGTTTTATACATGAGTAACTGCAGGAGGCTGAAATTCATGTTAATAATGACTATTAAAATGAGTCCTTTATCCACAGTGGTACAAAAGAATGTCAAACTCCTAAATAAACAAACTCGTAAATAACAGGTCCTGTCAGCAGTTAATAGTGGCAACAGTCAACACTGGCTACACATCACATCTTCTTTCCCAGTACACCAATTTATTTGAATTTGGCTGAGTAAAGAAAACATAGCATTATGCCTGAAGACTGAATGGAGGGAAAACTTTGAGCCTTTTTTTTTTTGGACTTGGAATGAGTATAAGCTGGGGATAGAGAGGGGTGACGGTTTGGGGGGTCTACTTCCTCTGCTTGTTGATGACTTGAAGATATTCCAAAAAAAACAAAAAAAAAAACATCTAGAGCCTGGTGCCTTGTGCAAGCTGCCAAAATGGTGAGTGTGGGAAAATACCCACCTCTGCCCAGCCACCCTTCGCCAGACCACAGGTCCTGATTCCCCCTGAATGGCCCTTTCTCTGGCCTGGTAGTCCAGTCTGTGTTTTGTGTCCTCTCGAGTGTTGAGCCTTAACCTTTTGGCTTGGAAGAAGCTACAAGTAAAGAGGTAGATTCAAATTCTCGTGTTGGTTGAGATAAGGATGTGAAGTTTAAAGGATGGACAGTGACTAAATGTTTCACGATGTAAAATGTAAAAATGATTAATAAAAGGATGTGAAGCACGCAGATTCGTATCCTTACGGGTTTTTTTTTTCCAAACTATGATTGCATTTAATAACTAGATGGTAAAAATGTCTATCTTAGCTCAAGTGCTTTCTCAGAATGGTAATAAAGTTCAAAAGTAGCGATGCATTTAGAGTTTAAAAGTCCATTGCAAGATATGGTCAAGTCAAGAGGGTCAACACCAAAAGTTAACCCAAGTTCTGAAACAGAGACATGAATACTGTGCAAATATTTTACATTTGCTGAACTACCATCTAGCACTGGCTAACCATTTATCTTTTGGAGAGGCTGAATTTCCTATCAGGTTCAAGAGAAATGTTATTTAAAAATCTCATGCCTACATAAAGTCCAGGCCTACTTTTCTTTGTAATCCTTCTGCACAGATTGTATACAGCCCATCAGGATTACTTTAAATGTGACTGCTAAACATTAACAAGGCACTGAGCATTTACATTGTGTAGATGTAAGCAGCTGATGATTTGTGTGCTTACATGAACTGGACTGTGGGCGGGATTTTCCTTTAATTCAAACACGTGAAGGTAATCACGTTAATGTTCATTCAATGTGTGTGTGTGCGTGTGTGCGTGCACGCAGGCTGATTGATTGGTGTGATATAACTGTGGCACTTGCACGTTGTAATGTACTCCTTTTCCGATGAAAGAATGAACCCAACAGCTTTTTTGGGGAAACGCCCACACCCGAATACAGAGTTATCCCTCCCTTCTGTGTCAGCGAACATCCAATCCTCTTCCACTTCTGAGGTTGTACAAGCATCCGTTTAAAAGCGTTCTTCAATAAAAACCCCCATCCAACATTACAGTATCACACAAGGAGGACTGCGTTTACACGTGCAGGGAGCATGCATTTGTAATTTTGAACTCTGCGCTTTTAGAAAAGACCCCACCATATATCGTTTGTTTTGTTGACGGAAACACTGAAAATTATCCAGATAATGGCATTCCTGAATCATTTTAGGACTGCATACTTGAAAAGTTTTCAAGGTGACCGGCTAAATAAGCAGCTGTTCTTCATTTTACGCGCCTTACACAAGTCAGCATCCAGCGAAGCTTTGGGAATCTCCGCAGCTGGAGAGGAGGCCATACCTCAAAAACTGATCACACCGGCGGATGTCGGCGAGAAACCCCGTGTCAAGACCCTGAAGGAGATGCCCGGACCCAGCACCCTATCCAACTTCATCGAGTTCTTCTGGAGAGACGGGTTTAGCAGAATTCATGAAATTCAGGTAATGGTATCCATATGTGCTTCTCATTTTGTTTGACAGATGAAATATTGCTTTTTGTGTTTTCCACCACTGGCAAAGAGCCTGTGTATTCTCGGCGTCTGTCAAATTCGCCACCTATGCGTAAAATGGCACAGACCGTTGCGTAAAAGCGCACCAGAGGTTTGATCGCTGGTTAATTTTCCACTCCAAGGTATGTTATTTTAGTAATTGCCCTCAAGTGAGTTACATAAAACACTGAAAGTGTTTTCTCCATTGCAAGATGCAGCGGATAATCTTGTTAGAAAGTGCTTTGGTCTCAATCTGTGGAGAAAATGTTTGAAGCTGAAAAGTCTTAAGTGTGCAAATTAGTCAATCAAAGGTGTCAATCAATATGACAGAACAAGACTTGTGTCATTGTTTTACTCGTGCGAAAGAGTGTTAAAGTTCCTGTTTTGTTGCTTACCCTATGCAGTCTGCTCTTTTGTTAAAAAATAAATAAATAATAATAAAAAAAAAAGTCAGATGAATGTCATGTGTTTTACACTTTCCATGATGTGATCCATTGATGTGGAAATTAGTCCTAGTGACAGAGATTGCATAGTTGCTCATTAACACATTTTTATAATGTATATCTAAAGATGCTTCACTTAAAACAGTAAGTGAAAAGTCATGACTGAGGCAAAGAACAACAATAACTGAGAACATTAGTCAAACAAATAAAGGTAGTCGGGTAAATTAAGACATAAATAATGCCATTGTTACAGACTGGTTCTACTGGAGAAACAGTGACACAGTTGGCACTGGCTGGCATACAACAATATTCTGCTGAAATGCATTTCATTAATATTATTAGTCAGTCTACATTTGTCTGCTCAAATTGGATTATGTAATGAGGATTTATTTCGATGATTTTGTAACATATTTATGTTTAATAGCTAAAAACTGGATTTAATCTTACTATCAGCAATTATTTGTAATTGCATTTTGAATTTAGAAAAGCGTTGGTGTCTTAAAGTGAAATTACTGCTGGATTTTCTCCATTTATCAGAAACCATTTCTATCAAAGTGACTTCAATCAAGAAAAGTGTCCACTAAATAGTTGTCAATATTGCATTATAGATGGAGCACAGAAAGAAGTATGGAAAAATCTTCAAGTCCCGCTTCGGCCCCCAGCTGGTGGTCTCGATCGCAGACCGTGACCTGGTGGCTCAGGTGCTGAGGGCCGAGTGCATGGCCCCTCAGAGAGCCAACATGGAGTCCTGGAAGGAGTACAGAGACATGAGAGGCCGTTCCACTGGCCTCATTTCAGCGTGAGTCTTCCTGCAACCTTTTGATCTTTGAGTCGGAATGAAATAAATGACTTTGAGGAAGACAGGATAATCACTCTAGCTTCCATAAGTGTGGAAAGGAACCGCACAAAACTTTGTATCTGTAAACTCTGAGATATTGTACTTTCAGCACAATACTTTTACAACAGCTACTATCATTCTTCATCAAATCTAGGATATTATATTTATATGTCTACATCCAGTTTGTCTCCTGTCTCCTGTTTGCAGTGAGGGAGAAGAGTGGCTGAAGATGCGGAGCGTGCTCAGACAGCTCATCATGCGACCCCGTGATGTAGCCGTCTTCTCTGATGACGTGAACAAAGTGGTAGACGACTTGATCAAGAGAGTTTGTATTCTGCGCACCCAGGAGTCTGATGGTGCAACTGTCCTGAACATGAATGACCTCTTCTTCAAATATGCCATGGAAGGTTGGTAGAGATCCTGTGAAAGTTTGGGTGTGAAGTGAGCTGAAAGTGGTGCATTGGATGGATTTGAAAATGATAGTGCAGTAGGAGATTGATCTAGGCCATCAGAGAGAATAGAGGGCAGGCAGGAAGAGGTAATAGCGAACAGAAAAGAGATATAGAAATGACAATACACACCCCATGTTATTCAATGGCACATGGTGATGCTTGTCAAGTCGAAGCAATCCACTGACAACTGCCGAAGTTCCCACTATACCAAAATGTACGAACCACTGATGTACAAGAAACAAATGATGAGTAAGGAATCATTGCTGTAGCTTTCCGACTTAAAATGTACAGAAACTCTGTCTCCTTCTTCCTTTGTCCTTACAGGTGTGGCAGCCATTTTGTACGAGTGCCGACTTGGCTGTTTGGAAAATGATATTCCCCAGGAAACCCAAGACTACATCCATGCGCTGCACCTCATGTTCAGCTCCTTCAAGACAACCATGTATGCTGGGGCGATCCCCAAGTGGCTCCGGCCTGTCATTCCCAAACCGTGGGAGGAATTCTGTCTCTCCTGGGATGGCCTCTTCAAATTCAGTAAGTAGTGTATGGCCAGTAATTTTATCACCACAGGGGCCACATAAATGCTTTTTAGTATACTTGCATGTTGTCTTTCAGTATACTTTTGTGTTCAAGTGAGCTGTGTGCCTGCAGTAACTACAGTAAGTTCATATTGAAAGGGTATTTCAGCACCACACTTCCAAGTTGGGAGACTCACAAGACATGGATTAAAAAAAGAAAACTAAAGCAGAGGAGGAAGAGTTATCCTTGCTTATAGTCCCTAATAAGGGTCAATCTCCTAAAACACTGGAGGCCACGGAGGCTTTGTTATGAATTTGTAGTTTCCAAGCCCAAGCCGAGATGACCCTAAAGCCATCACCAGGAGTTTTTTTTTAAATTTTTTTATTATTTTTTTCCAGACTTGAAACTTGAAGTTTCTCCAGAGCCACAGAAGTCATTATGCAACTGTTTTCACAGACATAGTACTCTCAATGACAAATAAACTGACCTTCATGTGTAAAATTGGTGTAACACCCCTTTTAGGTTTCCTGTCCTTTTTTTCTTTTTTTCTTTTTTTTTTTTTTTTTTTTTTTTTTTTTTTTTTTTTTTCTCTCTGAGTGAGGAGAAAGGCCTTTCTTTCTTCTGTTTAAAACCATTATAATAGTTTTCAATGTAAACATGTTTGATCCTGCTTTCTGTGTGGTAGTTCTGGTTAAGTATTTGCAAATTTTTTTTATTTTTTTTTATAAATAGCCTGGCATCAATAGAAAGGAATGTTGATTTGCATATAAATCTCTACTGCTGTACCATGAGACTGTGGGAGTATGGGGTCCCTCTGTTACATAACCTGTTCTCTCCTCTCTTTCCTTTCCTTCACTACCCTCCCTCACGTCCCCTTCCCTCCTGACTTCCCCCTAACCTCCTCCCCTCTCCATTCATCCCTCCCTCTTTGTCTCTGTCTGATCTCAGGCCTTATTCACGTTGATAAGAGGCTCGCAGAGATCAAGGCCCAGCTTGAGCGGGGAGAGGAGGTGAAGGGGGGACTACTCACACACATGCTCATTACCAAGGAGATGAGTCTGGAGGAGATCTACGCCAACGTAACGGAGATGCTACTGGCCGGGGTTGACACGGTGTGTGTGTGTGTGTGGAGGTGCAGTGAATGTGGCTTTAGCAGGAGGTGGAGCAGTTGGGAGTCGCACGTGTGTTACTGTCTCTCTGTGTGTGTGTGTGTGTGTGTCTGAGTCAGTGTTGAGTTTCAAGGGTTGGGTTTCTGGCGCCACATCTGTGCCTGTGTAGCTGTGCCAGCGTCAGGTCAGAGCAGTGAATCGTGGGGTTACACAGTATCCCACTGACAAACTTGTTCTCACTCATATTTAGTTTCTCATCATTTGTCTCTGTCTGTTAGATCTACACAGGGGGGCTTTTGTCTTTTTTTTTTTTTTTTCCTCTACGAGACATCTGTGTTATGTGTTCGTGTGTTTCCACATTAGAACTCAATTGGATAACACTTTTGAAATAATTAAGACTGTTGGTTTAATGCCACTGAAGAACCATTTTTTGTGGAAGCTGTTTACCTTTTTTAATTGGCAGATTAAAGAATACAGAAATAAGAAGCACTAGAAGGGAGCAGGAACATGACATGGCATACAACAAAGATCCTGGGTCAGATTTGGACCCAGGATGTTACTTTTTCATATTTGGTACCTCAGCCCATTGGACCATCAGAGACATGCACACACAGCACAGTTCAACAAGAAAGAGGAAAATCAAAGAATATTTGCTCACTAAGAATGTTTTTTCCAACTGTTTCACATTTGGTATGTGGTATGTGCGTGTTTACACTTGCATCGGAGTGCTTACTGTGTCCACATGTGCGCAGTTACTGCCTAATTTGTTTGGGGTACTGTCAGCTCAATAAGAATTATGATTGTAGAGTGTTTTGTGCTGAGCTAGGGGCTACGGGATAAAAGGGTGTGTGTGTGTGTTTTTGTTGAACGGCCACGTCCCGGTAGGGGGTCGGACTTAGCTGAGCCATTACCTGACCCCTCAGTGCGTTTGCCTTTACTCAGCGCACACAAGAGCTGTCAAGACACGTTAGCCACAGCCAGAGTTATAGCACAGACTGGGCAGAGGTGAGACGAGGGGGAGAGAAAGGGGGTGGGCCTGAGGTAGAGGGACGCTGTTTGGGAAAAAAGCAAAGAGTTGGGAATCGGTGTCATGAGGAGGAGGACAAAAAGAGTTGGGTGTACGATGGATGTTAGAAAAGACAAGATGTGGGGAGGCGGGGGTGGAGGGGAGAGGCCTAAGCCCTTTAGAGCTGTGTTCGGATGGGCTTTTATCATATGATTCCTCTCTTGCTTTGTCTGAGGTGTTGCCAGCATCTGTGCCAGCTGGGGCTGATTAGGAGCAAGTCGGGTGATGACAGAGCGGGAGGGAGAATCTGAGGCAGGGTATGGGAAGAGGGAGGTGGAGGACACAAGTGAGAAGGATGGTGGGGCATATACAAGGGTAGATAATTCTTTTGATCATTAGTTAGTCCACTGGGATACACTGACATTAGACTAAGCTCTGGGGTCTTTTTTGTGATGCTAGCAAAAAATAAGGCTGCCCCTCTGATATCCATATATGTCATGACGTACGGGTAGAAAAGGATGCCAGGAAAAGAAGTAAGATGTGGGCTGGTGTAATGAGGCATACAGTACAGCCAGTGAAAGATAATACAGAAAAGATGACACTCATTTCCATATCATTTGCTCATCTTCCCACGTCACTGAAATTAAAATGTTAGTGACATGTGAGTCAGAATTGGGACAATGGAGAACAGTGAGATAACTGAAACTGAGTAGGTAGAGTGGTTGCAAAGGAGGAAAGAGGAAATGAAAATAATCAGGGTGTGTCTAACGGGAAAGAGGAAAGCTCAAGATGTGTGGGGAAATGTTAGGAGAGGGAGCCCATTGTGGGGGGAGAGAAACAGTGAGATCAGCAAGGGCATATAGGAAATTAGAAAAGGGAGAGAATGATGTAGAAGTGATTTTTAAAATTAATTAATTAGCATTATTTTAAACTCTGTGTATCCTTGTTACAAGTCATGTGAACCGCACTTATAATGCTGTTAAGTGTGGTACAACTGAATGCATTTAATCATGAGAATGGATGCCTGGGGGTGATGTAAGATGAGGGATATAGGCCTGAGGTTGCAGCTGGTGGAGAGGTTCAGTGTCTGCTCAGCACGTGGAATTAGCCCCCCTCTCCCTCAAAGCCCCTCACTGTTTCCCAACACTTACGCAACATTGTAGAAACTCCTTATATCAGCTTGAATTGAGGACAGACCTGTTGCAAAAGAGAAATGGCAACAGCTCCACAGAGATTTAATGGAAAAGCAAAAGAATGACACTAATCTGCTACACATTCAAAGAGGAATATATACAACAAATGTGTCAAAATGCCCTTTTCTGTCCTCATAGACATCCTTCACCCTGTCATGGGCCAGCTACCTGTTAGCGCGGCATCCTCATATACAGCAGAAAATCTTTACGGAAGTGACAAGGACTCTGGGACCTGGGACAGTCGCCACAGCTGACGATGTCCCCCGTCTGCCTCTCATCAGAGGACTGGTCAAAGAGACTCTCAGGTGCAAACTGAGCTGATTTTTCTATTCAGTCTTCTCTGTTTTCTGTCCCTCACTAACTGCTTTGTTCAGTATCTTCACATGAGTATCTTTAATTTGTTCATTTTCTATCACTGTGTGTGGCTTTCACATTCTGCTAGAATTGAACTTTGTGAGAAGATCAATGTATAGTGCTGCTGAATAACAGTCTTTGTGTACCCCTCCCTGGGAGCAGGCTTTTTCCAGTTCTCCCAGGCAACGGAAGGATTACCCAGGATGACTTGGTGGTGGGCGGATACTTCATCCCCAAAGGGGTAAGACTGTTAGAAACATAATAGATGCGAGTCTTCTGGAGTGTGCATGTGCCTAAGAAAAAGTGTAACCATAAGAGTCGGCCAAAAACATTACAGTGGAACCAGATGTAACATGATCTCGCATTACTCATACTTCTCTCGCTCTCTCTCTCGCTCTCTCGTGTGTACAGATGCATGTACAATAGCACAGCTGTTTTCATTACACAACTGACATTTTTCTGTTTTCTGACTTTGTTAGACTCAGCTGGCTCTGTGCCACTACTCCACATCTTTGGAAGAAGAGAGCTTTGCTGATGCCTTAGACTTCCGACCAGATCGCTGGATACGGAAAGATTCCACAGATCGCGTCGACAACTTTGGCTCGATTCCCTTTGGCTACGGCATCAGGAGCTGCATTGGCAGGAGAATAGCAGAGTTAGAGATGCATCTTGCTCTCATAAGGGTAGGGAATTTATCAACTCTCCACACACTCGCTAGACACACACATTCAGAATTTGTCTTCAGACATGTCTATAAATATATCCACTTACACGAATAAATAAAGTTTTTCATTATAGTGTCAATGTAAACAACTACGCCCAACCCTACAAGGTGCCATAAAGGCATGCAGAATGCTGCTTATACATTTTCAACAACAAGAAAAAATAAAGAAAACCACCTCAACAAACATTTACTATGTAATATTGGAGAAATCGTAGGAAATACTAATTAAATAGTCCATATTGTCTTCTTTTCCGGCCTTTTTAGTCACATTTAGCAAGCCTAAACACTAAATTAAACAAGTCCAGTTGTTGATCATCTGCACATCAGAGTATTTCAGGGTTTTGTTGAGCCATCTCCTGGAAAATTTACATTATTGAATCATCATAGTATGAACAGTACAAACAAATGGGTCCAACTGTCCACTTCCAAAATCCACATCCCAAATCATACAGTCCCTGAATATTTTTGAATCAGGAAGTATACCCGTTCCCAGCTGTGGTACTAAAGATCTCTGGGTTCTTGATAACCACACGTACAAATGAACTCACAGACAATACCTCACTATTAAAACGAGTCATACAATCTGATTGACATCTGTGTTTTTGCTCCTTGTGCAGCTCATTCAAAGGTTCCACATTGGCGTGTCTCCTCTCACTGCTGATGTTAAAGCCAAAACCCATGGCCTACTCTGCCCTGCTGCCCCTATCCACCTGCAGTTCATCGAGAGGGAAAACTAGACTCTGAGTCCTCTCCATAAGGTCTACTGTACTGTATGTTTTTAAAGTTTTGATTTGTTGTTAGGTTTTTGAAAAGATGATTTCTTGTGACTGAGAGATGGAAAATTGTACGAATCAAGTTAACGCTTCAGTTTGGCTGGTTTATTTGTGCACAAAGGACAGATCTGGTGCTGGGGATACCAAGTCTCTCACTGAATGACTGACAGAACTTGAGCTGCTTATATTCTAACTTGATCAGGGCATGGTTATTATCATCTGTTTAACCTCAAAACCTTTCTCTCAATGTTTTCTCACTTTTATTGCCTATATCCTCCTGGAAGTACATGCATCACTAAATCTCTGCAAGATAATCTTCTAAACACCAATATAACCATAACATAGACTCCGTGATCTCCTGCTCCCCCAAAAGTCAGCAGCCTACCTAAAGTTCACATTCTTGACATCCTTAAACCAAAGTTACCAACTTGCAACACAAATACAACCTTACAATCCTCCCTTTTTATATCCCCTTGTTTTTCTGCAGGGGCTGAGGTTACATGTTGATGAACATCTATTCAATAACTCAAACATATAATCATAAGAAGTAACATTTGACATCACATGCATAATATATCAAATTCCTCAATGCAAATAGGGGCGAAAAACCCTGTGAAAAGGGAAAATTCCCCTATGACCCCTAGAAATACTTTCCAGCCATCTTTAGGTGGTCGCCTTTTTAAGCTTGCATTGGGCACATATTCTTTTCCATTCACTTAATTCTTCCTTTGATGTTTTCCTTTCCATACAATAACATGAACAGGAATAAATGAATATACCTGCTAACGTAAAGTCTAAATACACTGAATGTTTCATCTACAGTTTCTACTTCATGCACTACAATCATACTAAACAAAGTCCACACTTATCTTCTACCCCCCCACTTTTTTTTTTCAGTCCAATTGCTGCAAAAAGACTTAAAGTCCACACTTATCTTCTAATCTTCTATCTCCCCCCTTAACTAGAGGTAAACTCCCCCGTAAACTAGAGGTGCTAACAATCCTCCTTTGCTTCTCCTTCAGATTTGTATAAACACGTACAGGATGCTTAACCATTGTAATGTTAGTCATCAAATTAAAAGATTTCATGATCAATGCACGAAGAATCGGGAAGCAACAGCCTAACACACACCATTAAGAAAATCAATAAAATAGGACCACAAATGCTCACGAACCATGCAAGAATTGAGTTGTCTCTAAATATCTTTGTTATCCATTCCAATCCTTTTAAAGCTTCCATAGTTGCCACCCAACTTATGAGCTTCTCTATTAGTTCAAACAATATTTTCTTGAATCTCTTTTAGATTTTTTTTAGAGCTGTCGACAAATTTCCCATTCCTTCTTCTTCTGACGGAAGATACGTACAGCAACTATCACCAATAATAGCACATACTCCACCTTGAGCTGCTGTGATAGTGTCTAATGCCATACGATTCTCCATCGCATATTGTCGAATAAGAATCATTGCTGCCTTGAGAGACTGAAAACCTAAATATGTAGAATTTCACGTCGGGTGAGTGCAATTAAATAGTGATTTTCATATTGCAACTCGGTATTCAAAAATAGAGTCTTAAAAAACAACTGAGAACGCGAAAATATTCTATAATCATCTCCCATGTCATAATATTATTATCTCTGCCAAACCCTGAGGATCTTTATTTTGAAGATGTATATATCCTGAAATTTCTGGAATGTCTCTTTTTGCCTTCCCTGATACATTATGACTTTTCAAAAAATCTACAGGTCGCACAATATACAATAATTGATTCAGTGTACATATACCACACCGTCCGTTAAAATACGGTGGTAATGAAGTCCACACATGCTCTCCACAACACCAATAAAAACCTGGAGTCACCACTACTCCTAAATTTACCAGTCTCATATATGAAATGTACTTAGTCCTGCTGATAGTCCCTTAGAAAGGTCATCGTTATCCTCTGTAAACACAATAGAATTGAATGAATCTATTTTGGATGTCCAATATGGTGCACAACTGCCATGCCATCTATCAGGGATATATGTATATACATTTAAACCGCATATCCAAATAATATACTCATTTGCTGGAATGACCAAACTGGGATCAGCATACACTGTTTTATGGCAGCCCATCGTCATCCCTTAGTTATGTATTCTCTGACCCCCTAAAGGTTGAATGCAAATCAAAGGAGGACTCTTCTCCACCATTCTCACACGTAGTTGATCATAACCCATTAATAGTTCAGCATCTCTGCGGACAAGGAATTTAGGTGTCATATTTTTCCACAATTCATTGCAAAAGCCTGTTGTTGGAACTTCTGCTGCTATCAAAGTTCTAGGAATTAACTTTAATTCCTCTCTTTCTGGAGATTCATAGTTTGTTAACAACTTTATCATGCCTAATTCAAATGTGATATACTTGACCTGATTAATATAAAAATGTTTGTCACCTATTGTCATTAGGAGAACTAGCATGCATTGAATTTCTAACTCAGTTAAAGGAACATGTTCAACTCTCCCTAAATCTAACGTAGGGACTGTACTCCTAATCATGCGATAATCAACTGTCTTTTTAATTTCCTGCATCCTAAACTTAACGTTTCTCTTCACCTCGTCATCCCTCCTAAAGAAGTTTTGACTAGATGATATGTCATGGTCAATGTCATGTAGAGAGTCCTTGAATGTCTCTTCTTCCTGATTTTCTGCTGTGTCCAGTAGAGGTCTCGTCTTCGTTTCCTGTACCTTCATTCTTCCATCTTGTCCTGCAGTGTCCTGAGTTTGTGTGGACATCCAGCACAAGCCTCCACTGATCAGTATAATACAGCATATACTGTAAGACATCAAGATGCATTTCCTCCCTGAATCCTCAGTTGAGTGACTGAAGTTGTCGAAGGTTCCATTCCTTGCTTCTGGCCCCGGGGCTCTCCTCACTTGGCTGGCATGGATCCATTGATGTTGACCTTTGTCCTTAACTGCTGTCCTTGTCACCAACAGAACCTGAGTTGGTGGCCCGTAACGTGGTTCCCCAGCACTCACCGTCAGGCTTCTCACCAATACATAGTCTCCTGGCCGGATTGAGTGTGTTGACTCTTTCGCTGGTACTAGTAGCTTGTTGATCACCTGTCGCGAGTACTCAAAAACAAAAGAGTATAAATTCTTCACATAGTCTTGTTGCTCTTCCTGTAATTGCGTTAAATCTATCGCTGGTTTTTCATTCATCAGAACCCCCAATGGGAATGGTCGACCCATTAATACCTCATGAGGTGACAAACCAGTTGTCCGATTTGAAATTGCTCTCATTGACATGAGAACAATTGGTAAGGCTTCAAGCCAATTCATTTTTCTTGATTGATGTAACTTAATCAATTTATCTTTAATTGTTCTATTTGTGTGTTCCACTTGTCCAGAACTTTGTGGGTGATAAGGAATATGAAAAGTCCACTTAATTCTTATTGCACTAGCTAATAGCTTTGTAACCTTAGATGTAAAAGGTGTGTCGTTATCTGAATCAATTCCCACAGGCACACCAAACCTTGGAATTATGTGTTCCATTAAACACTTAATCACTGTTTGTGCATTTTCTTTCCTAGCCGGAAAGGCTTCTGGCCACTTAGAAAACCCATCCACAACTACCAAAAGATATGAATAACCCCTGAATTTAGGCATATGTGTAAAATCAATTTGTAATTGTTGAAAGGGTCCACTTGGTGTGGGGGCAAATGGTCGTGTTTTGGTGCTTTAATATTTGGGTTACATCGAGCACAAATTAAACACCTGTTAACAAAATCTTTTGCCTGTTGTTCCAATCCAATTGTAAAGAAGAGTTTTGAAATATACTCTGATATTCCCTTATAATTGACATGAGTGTCCTCATGCACATGGGCAATTAATGGGCCATATGCTATTTTTGGTAAAGCTATCCTTCCATCACTAAACTTCCATAATTCATCAATGTCTTTATAACATCCTTTTCCACAATTTCGATTCAACATCAGAAACTTGTTGAAATAACAGGAGATCATTAGTTGTGAAAGGGGGTTCAGAAGTTTGTGTCAGAGTTAGTGTAACATTCATCCATGACGGAAAGTCAGCATGCAACGCAGCATATTTTGCACATGCATCAGCTCGTGCCTCGTGCAATAGGTGAATCTTCCTTAGCATGTCCTGCACATTTCACTATGGCAATCTGTGATGGCAACATCATTGCAGCTGATAATTCCTTAATAAGAGCCGCATGTTGAAACGTCTTTGACTAGTCATATGTTGCGTCGTGATGTTTAATAAAATAATATTTACTGCATGAGAAGCGTGAAGAATCATGGGATATCCCAGTATAACAGTCTGCGCCTTTTCTACCATTATTGCTGCTGCTGCCTCTGCACGCAAACAAGAGACCATGCCTTTAACAATTAATGGCAGCGTTTTAGAATAATAGGCTACTGGTCTCGGTCTCTCCCCGTGCATCTGCGCCAACACAGCTGCAGCCACATTTCCGTCATCTGTCACATAGAGGTGAAAAGTCAACTTGTAGTCTGGCAGGCCCAGAGCTGGAGCAGAACACAGCATATATTTCACATGACGAAAAGCATGTTTCATTTCCTCAGTCCACTGAATAGTTGTAGGAGTCTCTTTTAGTGTAGCAGCACGTAACACAGCATCATATGTCGCATATTTCGGTAACCATGCTCTGCAATAGTTCACTAGTCCAAGGAAGGAAAGCATTTCCTTCTTTGTTTTTGGTCTTCGAATCTCCTTTATGCATTGATTCGTTCAGGTGACAGATACCGACAACCATCTTTCAGATCATATCCCAGATAATGGACAGAGTCCTGACAAAACTGGAGCTTCGCAAGTGATGCTCTATGTCCGCCTGTAGCCACATGAGTCAGCAATTCTCTTGTGTCAGTGATGCCACCAAAATATCATCCACATACTGTAATAACGCAGATTAACCAGGCAAGACCAATTTAGATAAATGTGCTTGTACTGCGGCTGCGTAAACTGTTGGACTGTCAACATACCCCATGCTCAATCGTGTAAATCGATATTGACAGTTACAATATGTGAATGTGAATAAATCCTGTGTATTTTCATGCCCTGGGATGGAATAATACGCTGAACACAAATCAACAACCGTATACCACTTAGAACTGGCAGGTATTGCAACCAAAATTGCATTAACATAAGGCACCACTGGAGCTAAGGTAAATACTGCCTCAATAATTTTGCGCAAATCTTGTATAAATCTGTACTTCTTAGTCGCTGGTTTCAAAATTGGGTTTATAGGAGTATTATTTCGTGATTTACATTTCACAATAACTCCTTGTTTCAATAAACTTTCAATAACCGGTCGAATTCCTTCCTCTTTTTCTTCAGAGAGGGGATATTGTTTAACATAGCCTACACCGGATATTTAGCACAATTAATTTTGGCTTGATATGGTTCCACATCTAACAATCCCACATGATTTGCATGTTGGGCCCACAATATTGATGGGACAGAGGCCAAAACTGAAGGTTGCTTCAATAAGACCTCTGTATTGTCACTTGTGTATTTGTGGCTTGACATGATTCTGTAACGCTTTAATAAAAAAAATATGTAGAGTCTTCATACGCCCAAACGATATAATTTTTATTTTGTTCCTGTTCAACTGGAACCTTGTTCAACAATTGATAACAAGACTCAAGCATCATGTCAATTTCAGACATGTCTTGTTTCACCGCACAGACAAAAGGTTCTATTTCATCATCATCTTTCCACAGTAACAAAAGTCCGTGTGGTGACACAAACAAAATCTGAGGAATTTCCTGCAACCGTTCACTATGCAGAAACCTATCCAAAAATGGTTTATCAGTAGGCTTCATGGTCAATATTCTAGAAGCTGCAGCAGCCTGACAAGCAGCCAACTCCTGAATTCCTTCAACAGTGAACAATTTAGGTACAAAATCAGAATTTAGCAAAACAGATGCAGCTTTGCGACACCTCGAATCGTTCTTTAAAAGTAATTGATAGACTTTCATTGCAGGAATGTTAATCTCTATTCCATCAGGTGAACATACAACAACTGCATTCAATTTACTTAATAAATCTCCCCCATTAATGAAATCGGCACAGTTGAACTAACGAGAAATATGCAAACATATTTCATCAACTTCAACTTTTAATGGTTGTGATAAGGGCTCTCTTTGTGTGACACCTCCAATACCGACAGACTGGACAGTTTCAATGCTTAAAGGACGATTTAAATCTCTCAGCCTCAGGCATGATATAGTGGCTCGTGTATCTATCAGAAAAGGAATTTGTTTTCCTGCTACTTTTAAATTAAATTTTGGTAATTGTACAGTTGTATTAGAAACATGCACTTGCATTGCATTAATTATAAGATGGCGACTGTCCGTGTCCCTCTGTCAGTCTCCCTATGGATTATGTCCTGCATTCCACATGAAGGAAGCGGGTCTGTATCCGGCCTGTACTGGGGCTTGCATTGGAGGGGGTGAAGTTATACGATTCTGCACCTGGTTTTCTCTCTCTCCCTCTTCTTGTCTTTCTCTCTCTTCATCTAAGATCCTCCGTTCACAATCTTTAGACCAATGTCTTTAGACCAATGTTTAGACCAAATCTCCGACAATAATTACATATGTTCATAGAACTTCTTTGTGTTCTCCAATTTTGTCTGTTACCATAACCACGTCCTCTTTGAAAAGGACATCCAAAACCAGGTCTATAATCTGATATATCCCGTTGCTGTCGCTTATATCCGCGACCACCAAAGCCCTTGACCTGTGACAGACTCTGTGATCTCCTGCTCCCCCAAAGGTCAGCAGCCTACCTAAAGTTTACATTCTTGACATCCTTAAACCAAAGTTACCAATGTGCAACACAAATACAACCTTACAATCCTCCCTTTTTATATCCCCTTGTTTTTCTGCAGGGGCTGAGGTTACATGTTGATGAACATCTATTCGATAACTCAAACATATAATCATAAGAAGTAACATTTGACATCACATGCATAACATATCAAATTCCTCAATGCAAATAGGGGCGAAAAACCCTGTGAAAAGGAAAAATTCCCCTATGACCCCTAGAAATACTTTCCAGCCATCTTTAGGCGGTCACCTAAAGATGGTAATTATAACCTTTATAACCTCAAAACCTTTCTCTCAATGTTTCACTTTTATTGCCTATATCCTCCTGGAAGTACATGCATAACTAAATCTCTTCACATTCTTGACATCCTTTAAACCAAAGTTACCAACGTGCAACACAAATACAACTTACAGTTTTTTTTTTGTTTTTTTTTATATATAAATACATTGCTTTTAGTAAATCTTCCACTGTTAGATTTTAGACCTGGCGCTATGAAAATGAAACAGAATTGAATTGAATAGATACCAAGCTCAGACTGAGGTTTTACTCGGGCAAGAAATGTCTCACCTCTTTTATGTTAATAAGAAGGACACAAAAATAGTACTGGACCAGTAATGTAAATGTTTGTACATTGTTTGTACTAAGTAAAAAGCACTGCAGTGTGTTTGGACTATTACTCCTTCCATTCATCCTATTCAAAATAGTGAGTGGAAAAATGAGCTATAATCTATGTATCCTTTTATGTTAACGTGCATGCATGTACGTATTAATGTGTGTGCAAACACCTTGAGGAAGCAATTCACTGAGAATGTTGAAGGGCAAGCATGAATGTACTGAAAATCATCTGTTTTTAGAAGTATGTATATAATGAGCTTTATTTGATGCTTATGTTTTTTGTGTTGCAGGCCAAGATATTTTAGCAAGATGCTTTTCTCTGGCACCACAATTTGTTTTTGTTCAAACTGTGGAAGAACACTTAATCACTTGAGTGGCATTACATGATTTTATTCCATGTACTGTATATCCATGAAACATTAAATACACAGTTACTGTGAGGGGGAAAAAACTTATGTATGTAAACATACGGTATATATTTGAAATAAAAATGCTTTTAAGTTTTTAAAATAAAGTAATTTGATCTTCCTTTCAGTTGAAACTAATTTAAAAAAAAAAAACAAATTCATCCAAACCTTGATGCTCAGCCAGTGAAAAATGTATATCTGTTTGTTCACACAATATATTTGCATCAAATAACGTAATGAGTGTTTTTGATTTATATGCTGTTTGAGTGAAATACAAGTATTTTACCAGAATATTGGTTACATTATGATTTTACTGAGAGGGACAATGTATGTTACAGAACAGTTTGTTGCAAGAGGAAGAGACACGTTGTTGTTGGTTTTTGCCATTTTGAAGGATCACAGTGACTCAAAATATTGTGCATGCAGGCATTGGTCAAAACCATAGATTGTTTTTAAAAGAAATTTAAAATTCCTTGTGAAGATCTTTAAATATCCAACAAAAACCACACATAATGTCATGTAAATAGCATGGTCACTGTATAAAATGATAGACAATACATCTAAATAAATAATGTATCTATACCATGTAATATTTTGATAAAATTCATGTGACTTTTGTAACCTGACTGAATCCTTGATAGAAAAATGAGTACAATTAACTTTGATTAAAGCTTTGTACATGTCTTCTTATTACTGGTGGATGTTTATCTTTGCATTTTTATATGACCCCTGCTCTCTAGCCTTGGTTCCACAGAATATATGGCCCTGTCCTAAGTGACTCAGTCAGTCAAATGTCTTGCATCTGTCCAGGCGCGTCACACGTGTCGATGTTGTGGGTGTTGTGACACCCACACTTTCACAGAAACATGATTCCCACACCAATTTTCATTACTGCCACATAAAAAGAGGCAAAAATTGTCTGTTACTATTTTATAATTTACATGACATAGGTGGGAAATGAATTTTGTTTAACAGCATTACTAATCTTGAAACCTATTTTTGTTTCACTATGCTAGAGTAGAGTTCACTGATTTATTGTTTAGATGACAAATCTACATTTCAATGTAGACCATAATATGTGCTGCTCTAACTGAGCAGACATGGATCCACAACAAGGTAAAGTAAATCTCTTCACAACTCTGAACTGAATATTAGGCTGAAAGAAGAAGAGGAATGATATTAAATATCTTTAAAAATAGCATCATAGGATAAACAACATAGATATGTACTGTAATATTATCAGACAGTATTTCATTTGATGTACTCCAGATCACTCTGTTCACATTCCCTCCTCTTCATCTTTCACTCTATCAGCTCCACTCTCAATCTATCCCTGGAAATGTCCTGCTGACTGCTTCTGCTGCTTTGCTAATATTCATCAAGTAAAGTCCAGTGTAATCCTAGAACACGTGTGAAAAATTACATTTCTATTAGTTTACAGCAGGTCTGGGCTGGACAGGTGACAGGTGTGTTTACAGTGTCTGTGCTCTGAAAGACGTTACAGCAGGAAAGTTGTGAAAAGTAGAGGGTTCACCCTGGTGTTGGGTTTACATCAATGCAGATCAGAGCCGGAGCTGCGAGTACATGCATAACTTTACATATGTACAGTATATGCATGGTAGTATGCATGTATGTGCAAGTGGTTAGTACCAATGTATATGTAAGTGAAGTATTCAGTTTTGGCCTAGGTGCCTTCTCATACATGATTGCATTTTATATTCTGAGCATAGTAATTACTCTAAAAGCAATCAAAATGTTTTTCTATGCATCAAATGTATTAATATCAGTCAAGTTAGGTTCAATGTCTTTGTTTTAACTTGAGTGTGAGTGATCAATGTGTAATGTGGGCAAAGAACATGGAAATGGAAAATGATTTTGGAAAAACACTTTATTCCTTTTTGCAGAAATATAAACTCCCTCGACATGCTCAAAAAAAAAGTCAAGCTTTGGTTAGTTTTACTTTTAAATGTCACCTTTTGATGTTTGTGCTTGAATAAATTTTAAATAAATATAAATGTTTTTCAATACTGTATTGTGAAGAACTGCTTAAAATGTTTCTGTGTGGAGTTTGCATGTTCTCTCCGGGTACTCCGGCTTCCTCCCACAGTCCAAAGACATGCAAATGGGGACTAGGCTGATTGGTTACTCCAAATTGACCATAGGTGTGGCTGTGAGTGTGAATGGTTGTTTGTCTCTGTGTGCCCTGTGATGGACTGGCGACCTGTCCAGGGTTTACCCGGCCTCTCGCCCGAAAGGATGCTGGGATAGGCTCCAGCCCCCCCGCGACCCTACTAGAGGATAAGCGGTAGACAATGAATGAATGAATAATTACATGATTTCCTAGGGATACCAGAATCCACTTCAGGCCCCCCACAACCAGCAAGAAATGGTTATTCATGCACATGATTACACCCCATTCCCATATAGGCTCAAATTAGGGTCCTAATGATTTTGAGCTTGTAAAGTGATGTTCACAGATAATTCTGAAGTTGGTAATTGTAAATCAACCTTTGTAAACCTGTAAAATAAATCTGTATGAGAAACAATTGTGCTTGTGGGGATTTATGTTTGTATTAAAAAATTGTGTCTTGTTTTTTCTTACAGAAGTCATTTTATTTAATACATTTACCATTATGTGTTTTCATAGGGATGCCAGAATCCGCCAAACTTGAATTTTTTATGCAGATTTATTTTACAAGTTTACAGAGGTTGATTTACAACTACAAACATTGAAATTATTTGTAAACATTACTTTACAAGCTCAAAATCATTTTGATCCTAATTTGAGCCTATGTAGTTGTCAGGGACTAAGTTGGGGACTAAGTTAGGGACTAAGTCGTTTAGGCATGGACCACTGTAGGCAAGCTAGCCGCCTCCCCCGTGCATTAGCATTAGCATTAGCAAGCTGCTAGCTGGCATTGTACATTGATGAATGAACTAATCAGTTTCAAAATAAGAATAATAAAGACTGATCTGTCAAACAGACATCTCTCAGTATTCTTTCCTAACAGGTGCTTTCCATCGGGGAGTTTCTCTAGGATGATGTGTATGTATGCCATGTACACTTGTATTCATGCAAGATAACTTGTTTTGGCAGAAAAATTGTAAAATGTCATTAAATGGACATTTGCATGAACTCTTTTTGTATAGTGTATGTTTGCATGATGACTTTTCATTTATTCTTTCTGAATAAACATCTTTTCTAAAATATGTCACTGAGTCTAATGTCTCAACATTAACAATGATATTATCTATGTTAATTTTTATCTTTATTTATTCATCGCTGAATGGATATTTACTTCAACATTGTATACAGAGAAGTGCTAGTTGTCGTTCCCTTTATGCTACTCACCAAAACAAAAATTATATACAGTAAATGAGTGAATAAATAAGATGTCAAAAAATAAAACAAGTTTTCATGGTGGAGTCTCATCTTGTTATACAACCCTGTATCAAATTATAGATAAAGGAACCTAGTAACCTTTCACTTATTTAGTATATTGTGCATTATGACATATTTCGTACTATTACCACCTGTAAGAGATGAGTTGGCTGTTCCAGTGATAAAGTATCTATCTATCTATCTATCTATCTATCTATCTATCTATCTATCTATCTATCTATCTATCTATCTATCTATCTAAAAAAAAAATTCAGGCCATTATCTTGTCAGAATCAGACTTTACTTTTTACTTTACTTACTAACTTTATTGGTTCAAGAGGAAAAAGATTGTTCATTAAAGTTGCTCCAGCATAGGGAAATTATAAGAAAAATAGAATAAGAAATATAATAATATTATTGAAAGCACTGGGTTGTGGTGCTCATGTCCCACCCTTAGAACCCCCACACTTTTAAAATCACTACTTCACCCCTGCATCTGTGTTTAATTAATAGGAACTTCGGTATATAGTTCTTGTTGTGTACTTAGTAGGTTTCTGATAACACATTAGTACTATATGGCTTGGACTGATGTGGAGCCATTATATATTAAATTGCACTTGAGTACAATTTTCATGTTCTTGTACTTAATTATTATAACTATTTATAACTGACTAACTATTTCCAATTTCTGCTTCTATATGCATATTCTCCACAAATTTCAGAGGCAAATACACTACATTTATTTAATAGCAATTAGTTACTAATTGCTTTACAGTAATTTAGAGCAATAACAAAATGTAATACAAACAAATGACAATGTGTTATTATAGATTAAGATTTTATTGATCCCTATAAAGCTCTATATAGAATAAATAAAATTTATTTATAATCCAGTAACATGACATATTGTATTCTAAATGGTCCATTCTGCACAACAAGTACCTTCACTTTTAGCATTATTTGATGATAATACTTTTATTTAATTTTATTCAATGAAATTATTTTTAGGAAATTGTTGATTCACCTGTATGATCATTTTTGGAGTATCTAGTTTGGGATGCTGTTGAACTGTATTGCATTTTACAGAGAAGTGTTTCTGTTATTTAGCTTACTCTCATTGATGTGAATTGCGCGGGTGATAGAAACATCAGTACCGTACTGCACTGTCTCCCTCTCGCGATATTTTGCCAACGAGAACACAAGCGGAAGTAAATAGTCGCCATGGCATGTTAGCTAGTGAGGAGGGATAAAGTAGCAAGCAAAGCGTGGATGCTCCTGAAGTTTAACGGATAAAAATAATTTACAACTTTCAGAGTTAGTTGGTTGAACGTTGATAAATAATAGACTCGCTCCTTGTGCACTTCCATGACAAATGCATTACGAGAGCCGAGGAATCGTGCAGCACGTTAGGGGCCTGGAAAAGACGTTTGCTAACTAGCTAGCTAACCTAGCTAACGTTAACGCGGATGAAGTTCAGCTAACGTCGCTTTTAGCACCACAGCCTAGCCAAAGATCACTCAAGTGTCTGCTATCGTTTTAAACAAGCAAGTAACATCGCCCCAAGAGGGGTTAACTCTGGCCGCGGTGGAGGGAAAGTTCGGCTGGATAAAATGATCATTGAAAACCTTGATGCCTTGAAAACATGGCTGTCTGAAACCCTTGAGCCCATGTAAGTAACGTTAGCTATTAGCCGCACAGCTGTTGTCTTTCTAAGTAACTTATCCACGCCTTTTTATATATTTATTTCCATAATCGTGTGTCTTACGATTTTCTTTCTTCACAATTCCAGCTGTGATGCCGACCCTTCTGCCCTCGCAAAGTATGTTGTTGCTTTGGTGAAGAAGGATAAAAGTGAAAAGGAACTCAAAGCCCTGTGTATAGACCAGTTGGATGTATTTCTTCAGAAAGGTAATTAATCATTAGCCCCAGTCTGTTCCTCTCATGTGTAATTTGCCCACATTCGGATCAGATTGGTTTCTCATAAATCATAATTAACCGGTGATGTTTGGAAACCAAGAAAGTAATTTAAACTCTTGCCGTTTTTCAAGTGGTATGTATAAATACTGAAAGAGTCCTCTAACAAGCTGGATAAGAAAAATATGCCAGTGTGCTGCATGATAAAAAAGAGATGTGGGAACATCAATCCTCACTGATTAATTGTTTCTCCGAGAAATAAATGGTTAGGTCTATGACCTGAATACATGAGAGGCATAAACTGAGGCAAATTAATCCTCTGCTTCATGAAAGCTTTACTTTGCAAGCCCCGTTTTACTTATCATCTGTTCCAG